ATACTCTGCCATTTAGTTCAGCACCGCTCAAATTTTCAATGCTGTATGATGTCCTTCAAGCTGTGTCCAATCACATTGTGGAAGGAGGGGGGATGGCAAGAGGCCAGTGGGGTGGGGGTGGGACAAAACTCACCTTCACCTGTGTAGACAAAAATCCTTGCACAGGCCCTGAACCTGCAATTCTCAAACTTTCATAGTTTTCCAAAGGGTATGGTGTCATTTCTATGTATCCAGCTAATCTCTGTAGGCCAAATATGAATACACTGCTCAAAAAAAATGTCAAAGACACCAATGGCCTGCTGGAGGTCATTTTGTAGGGCTCTGGCAGTGCTCTTCCTGTTCCTCCTTGCATAAAGGAGCAGATACTGGTCCTTCTACAGCCCTGTCCAGCTCTCCTAGAGTAACTGCCTTTCTCCTGGAATCTTCTCCATGCTCTTGAGACTGTGCTGGGAGACACAGCAAACCTTCTGGCAATGGCACGTATTGATGTGCCATCCTGGAGGAGTTGGACTGCCTGTGCAACCTCTGTAGGGTCCAGGTATCGCCTCATGCTACCAGTAGTGACAGTGACCCTAGCCAAATGCAAAACTAGTTAAAAAGAGTCAAAAGATGAGTAGGGAAAAAATGTCAGTGGCCTCCACCTGGAAAACTATTCCTGTTTTGGGGATCGTCTCATTGTTACCCATCTAGTGCATCTGTTAATTTCGTTAACACCAAAGCAGCTGAAACTGATTAACAACCCCCTCTGCTACTTACCTGACCAGATCAATATCCCAGGAGTTTCATTGACTTCATGCTATACTCTGATTAAAAAGTCTTCCTTTCATTTTTTTTTGAGCAGTGTATATCCACTTTGGATGGTAATCGTGTAGTGTGGTGTGTTGGGGTTTTTCTGTTTTCTAATTAGTTTGCTGATTTTTGTTAATATTTGGAAATTAAATTTCAAAATAAACGAATTAAAAGAAATAAAATAAAAAAGTTAAATATATTTTTTTTACCTAATACTGTTCTCTAGACAAAGCATTAAGTTTATAATGAAATTCTTTTAAATGAATGCTAAGTGGTATGTTTTGATTATATGGTAACCACATAAAACAATCAGTAATGACAAGTTCTCCAGTACACCTTTGGATGTGCACTTATCTCATCATGGGTAAGAATCACAGCCTAAAGACACAGGCCATATTCCATACAAGATACCCGAGCAGACCGTAGGTGCAGTAGAGGTACAGGAGCTGGGGAATGATGACTTTTGGAATCCTTTCGACAATGCGATTGGACTTTCTGTAAGCAAAGACGATGAAACATTTTGATTGTTCTAAAAAAAACGTTGAAAATTGGGCCTAGCTGAAAACTGAAATGGGAAGAGCAAAATGGTTTATGTTGTGTATGTATGTATGTATATATACACTCACAGTCCACTTTATTAGGTACACCTTGCTAGTACCGGGTTGGATCCCCTTTTGCCTTCAGAACTGTCTTAATTCTTCGTGGCATAGATTCTACAAGGTGTTAAAAACATTCCTCAGAGATTGTGGTCCATATTGACATGAGTTACTGTTGCCTTTCTATCCTCTTGAACCAGTCTGCCCATTCTCCTCTGACATCAAAAAGGCATTTTCATCCACACAACTGCCACTCACTGGATATTTTCTCTTTTTCGGACCATTCTCTGTAAACTCTAGAGATGATTGTGTGTGAGAATCCCAGCAGATCAGCAGTTTTTTAAATACTCAGACCAGCCTGTCTGACACCAACAACCATGCTATGTTCAAAGTCACTTAAATCTCCTTTCTTCTCCATTCTGACGCTCAGTTTGAACTTCAGCAAGTCATCTTCACCACTTCTAGATGCCTAAATGCATTGTGTTGCAACGTGATTGGCTGATTTAGAATTTGTTTTACCAAGCAATCGAACAGGTGTACCTAATAAAGTGGCCGGTGAGTGTATGTCAGCCATGGGGCCCCCCAGCCCTACGGCCGACATACACTCACCGTCCACTTTATTAGGTACACCTAATAAAGTGGCCAGGAGACCGTATGGAGGAAGGTCCATCATCAGCTAGCCCCCCCAGGCTAGCTGATGATGGACCTTCCTCCACGTTCCCTGATAATTTGTGGGGTGCCAAGTCTTGATTACTCCCAGGGTGAATTCTTCTGGGCTACACTACACATCTCTTACAGGGTCACTCTACTTCACACACATGGGGTACTTTTTACACTTGTGCCATTTTCATCAATGCCCTGGGACAAGACTGAGGTTGCCATCAGGAAATACCTTATTACCTTAAGGTGGGCCTCTACTCTTAGAGATGAACGTACACCATGTACACTTGCACAACAAATGTTCTCCAGTTAACTCTCTGGTCCTCGTGTAAATGTACGTTTTTTCCACTGTAGCTTGCAGTTAGGTGGGCTGTGCCGAACACTGATGACAGCCATCTGTCCAGCGGTTTCCCAATACTGGTCCCAGTAGCAACATGGAACCCCACTGCACACTTGACTTTAACTCTTGACCTTCCGTACCTCTGTACAGGATGGGGACCTCTGCAGTGCAGTTCTGTTCCGGTTGCTATGGGAGAACGAATGTGGCGTAGGGAGTGACAATAACACCACCTATAATAGGTACATGTTTCAGACAGGCTGCTTGCTGACTGTACTTTCATTGGCTATGGCAACCACATGTATACAAGACCTTGCACTAGGATGACTCTTGCTGACTTTTTATACCCCATGTGCTAGTGACTCAAATCCTAGACCATTCGTGCCGATTACTTGCATTACACTCCTTTAAAGAACTTTAGACTAGGCAGAATGCAAAGTTTTAACACTTTACTGAATAAAGTGCAAATGGTACAAAGTCCATCAAAAGAAAAGTCTTTTTCCTAAAACCCTAATCCTACTCCGGCTATGTGCTGCCCTGGGATACCTGCAAAAGTAGAGTGCAAGCAAATAAAGGTCTATTAGTGGAATTCCGTAGTGGGTGATGTTTTCAGGGCGTACCCCAAGTTCGATGGCTCTAGCATCTTTCGGACTCCTCTAAGTGGCTTATGGACTAGCAGAAAGGCCAGTCTAGCTCCTGCAGGGATACTCTCTCTCCAGCAACACCCCAAGCTCTAGAATAGGACCTCAGACTCTGGACCACTGTCCCCTTTTATAGGCAAAAAGGATCAGTAGGTCAAACCCAAACGTCTCACCAAAACCAAAAACCCAGAGTTAACATCACCCTCCTGTCCTGGGCAGCACCTAACTAATTCAACCAGCGTACATATACACACACTATCAAAAGTAATACAAAAGTGGTCATAAATTTTTTATTAACTTACATAGGTCTTCAGCCCCAGTGCACACTGGTGCGACTTGTCATGTGATTTGACGGTTCCAAATCACATGACAAGTCAAAATTTTTTAAATAGTTACTGCATTATTTTTGATGATTTCAGGTATGCGACTTGCATTGACATCTATACATGAAGTCCAGGGGCGGACTGACCATTTGGAAACTCGGGCACCGCCCGAGGGCCCGGGGTCAGTAGGGGGCCCCATGAGATGCCCCTGGTACCTTTTTCATAGGCTTTTTTGAGTTTGGGCAAGGTCACAGGGGCCCCATGATCCCCTATTGCCTGGGGGCCCCATGAGTTGTCAGTCTGCCCCTGATGAATTCACACAGATGTCAGGCAAGCCGCATATGAAGTCGCACCAGGTCCGCAGCTTTGAGATCGTGCTACTTCAAGTGAAGTAGCGCGATTTCAATGTCGCATTTGAAGTTGTCATGTCGTCACACTTCACGTTGGTAAATTAACTCTTCCTCTGTAGTAACCCTCTTCTTCTTTTTCATTGTAGACAAATAATGGATTAAAAGCAGAAGCAACGTGCCGTCATTGAGTTCTTGATGAAGGAGGGGTGCTGGCTGTTCGACATTTAAGGTCTCCCACTGCATGGTTTGTCTTCAATGCTGGTTTCCCCTGCTTCAGCCCCGGTTCACATATGTGCGTTCCCGTGGGCCGCATTTTGCATGGGCACTAGAGCCCATTCATTTGAATGGACTCCCTGCCCCTGGACATGCAGGGAAGAAGTCCCTACACTTCTTTGGAAACCGCAGCCCGCACGGGAACCTCGGTTCCCAGTGTGGTTGCGATTTCCAGTGCGGGCGGCGTAACATTACAATTAATGGCACCCGCCCGCGGGTCCTCATTCCTCATTTTTGTGCGTATCTGCAGCGGCACCACCCGCACATATGTGAATCAAGCCTTAAACTTCTTCATCCACCTGTGCACATTGCTCTTCTCAATACTGTCATCTCTGTAAACATTCTGTAGCCTTCTGTGGATGTCAGACAGCCTGCACCCCTCCTCCATCAAGAACTCAATGACCGCATGTTGCTTCTGCTTCGAGTCCATTATTTACCTGCAGTAAAAAAAAGAGTTACTATAGAGGAAAACCTATTCTACCAACAAGTAAAAAATTGATTAACCTATGTAAATTCAAAAAAGTTATGCCCACTTTTGTATTACTTTGGGTACAGCCCTATATAAACACAATGTACTTAACCACTTGCCCTCCTGAGGATTTACCCCCCTTCCTGACCAGGCCATTTTTTTTGCGTTACAGCACTACGTTACTTTAACTGACAATTGCGCGCGGTTGGTCATGAAACTCTGCACCCAAATTATATTTACGTCCTTTTTTTTCCCACAAATTAAGCTTTCTTTCGGTGGTATTTAATCACCTGTGCGGTTATGATTTTTTTGTGCTATAAAAAACAAAGACTGACAATTTTGATAAAAAAAACAATATTTGCGACTTTTTTCTATAAAACTTGTCCAGTAAAAAAAGTAAAAAATTCAAATTTAGTCATAAATTTAGGCCAAAATGTATTCTGCTCCATGTCTTTGCTAAAAAAAAAATTCCAATTGGTTTACGGGAAAGTTGTAGCGTTTACAAATGGCGGTATAGATACTGGATTTTTTTTTTCAACTCATAATGGCGGCGATCAGCAACTTATAGCGGGACTGCAGCGGACATTCTGACACTGTGAGGGACTGACTTGTTGTCACTGACATCCCCAGTGACACCAATACAGTGATCAGTGCTAAAAAGAAAGCACTGACACTGTACTAATTGCAATGGGCAGGAAGGGGTTAACATGAGGGGCGATCAAAGGGTTAACTGTGTGCAGGGAGTGTTTTACTGGGGGGGCGGTATCAGTGTGCTTCAATGTAGACACACTGCTTTGGATGGCTGTGCTGTGCACAGCCATCCAGAGCAGTGTACCCGAGCTGACAGGGAGGAGGACTGTTAGTAAACAACACAGTCCTCCTCCCTGTCGGAGATATTCGGTAATCACTGGGACCGGGTGATTGACAGCCGCAGCCGAGAATAGCGGCGCGAGTAGTGCGTGCATGCGGCTTGCATGTGCCCCCTACCTGGAAATGCAAAATCACGTATATAAACCAATCATGGGCAAGCAAAAATGCATTTTTTTTTGTCTTCGCACATGATTGGGTATTCTTTTGTAAAGTAAAATTTCACCACAGTCACTAAGCTAAAGGAAAAAATTTCCTTGCTAAATGCACCTATCCTTGCAAAGTGATCAGCCTACGTGCCTTTAGTAAATCAACCCCTATGTGTCCAGTCTTGTCCTTCATCTCCTGGACATATAAATGTTGCTTTCTGGTGACCATGACATAGCTACAAGTTTCCAACACTGGAGATAATGTAGACAAGCCGGCTTCTGTCAGGAAGCAATATTTTCAACACAAGCAGGAAAATCTGTGTTGAAAGTCTATTGAAGGAGCCAGCAGGATCCCACCCACAGACACAGCTGACGACGGGAAGAAACAAATTCCCTGTATTTCCATTTCTTGATACAGTAACTCTTTCACGCAGATTTATTAAAGGGCCGCAACACATGAAATGTGTGTTGATGTTAGATAGTTTTTTTTTTTAAATGAACATTTGGAGATAAATACATAGGAATCTATCAGAATCAAACCACTTACACTCTACTATGGTGGCTGGCTACTTGTATTTTCAAACCCCCTAGAAGAGATTCATCTGATTTTAGGGGCTCTGTTGTGTAGGATAACCTCCTTGACCAAATGAAAAGCACTAGAGGTGGCAGGGTGGACCAGAGCTCCAGATTCAGGAAACAAAGTGGATATTTTATTTTCAATTATTTTTTATTAATTAAAATTCAGACCATGCAGAGAAACCATAGCTTATTGCATAATCAAAATGACAATATGTTCAGGTAGCTTAGATATTACATTTCCAAAACACTTAAAGCGATACTAAAGGCTAATTTTTTATTTTTGTAAAATAACAGACATGTCTATACTTACCCAGGGGCGTATTCACCACAAGGCAAACAAGGCATTTACCTAGGGCAGCATTTTTCTGGGGGGCAGCACCACCCCTTGGAAGAAGGGACATTTGCAGCATGGGGACTAGGAGTCAAGAGAACCTGTGGACTGATTGATGGTGTATGCGGAGCCTGCATGTGTGTGTTAGTGGAAGGCTCTTTCAGGTGGGGCAGGGGTGTTATTGGTAAATGTTAGGCTGTCTGCCAGGAAGGGGGGTGTCTGATTTTTTTGTTGCCTAGGGCAGCACAAAACCTAAATACACCACTGTACTTACCTAGTGTGCAGTGGTTTTGCACAGAGAAGCCTGGATCCTCCTCTTCTCAGGTCCTCCACAGGCTCTACTGGCTCTTCCTTTCTGTCGGGTGCCCCCACAGCAAGCAGCTTGCTATGGGGGCACCCTCTGCTCTGTGTGTGCATTCACACTCGGAGCCGTGGCTTGGCCCTGCTCCCTCTCTCCACATTGACTGGCTGTGAATGACAGCAGTGGGAGCCAATGGCTCCCGCTTGCTGTCTCAGGCAGAGATCTGGGACAGCCAAGGCTGTTGTGCACATTGATGGATCTCAATGGGGCTCAGGTAAGTATTGAGGGGGCTGGGGGCACTGCTGCACACAGAAGGTTTTTTTTACCTTCATGCACAGAATGCTTAAAGGTAAAAAAAAACCTTGAGCCTTTACAACCACTTTAAATTGAGCATTCTGTTTGCAATAAAACTGTAATAGAATATTAAATATAGACCTCAGTAGTGCCTCTGCATGTATAGTCTTGACTTTAGGTACAAAAAAGGTAACACAAAAATAGGAACATTTTTAAAGATACTAAAAAAGTACCACAAAGTACAGTGATGCCACCTGAAATCTCCCAAAGTCAATATTTTCAGAACACAGTATCTGGGTTCAAGGGTTGGAGGTACTCTGCAAGGTATGCCTAGATGCCTCCTATGCATGCTGTTACCATAAAAAGGTCTTCTATTGTTGATATGTTAATCGGGCTGCAAAACAAAGAATGAATATGTGCATTTATGTACAAAATGTGCATTTATTATTTTTTTTTCAAAGCATCAGGCTCCTGTAGACCAGTATTTTTCAACCAGGGTGCCCAGGTACCTTGGGATGCCTTGAGGTTTCTTCAGGGTGCCTTGGCAAATGTGAAAGAGCAGGGCCCTCCATCCCCTCATGTTTTGCATTGTATTGGTATTGTTCTGTCACATGTTCTGTCTCCCATTGTAATGTACAGCGCTGAGCGAACTATTGGCGCTTTATAAATACTGTATAATAATAATAATGTCTAAAAATTGTCCAAAACATTTATGCATGCCAGTGGGTAGAACGAGCCTTCCTTTTAGTTACACAAAGCCACAGGTTTTCATTGTGCACCATTACAACTTTCTTGCGGCCGGCGTCCTGACAACCAATGACATCATTTGTTGATAAGGAGGAGGTCAGCTGCCTGCACGGCATCCTTGTTTGACCCTCCCCCACCCCTTTCCATTAGTGCTGGGGTCACATTATCTCAGTGATAGAGAAAAACTGAGGAAGAAGAGAAACCATGGAATACTAGTCAGTACCAGTGTACAAGAGTGTATTTTCTTTGGAAGAATAAATCCCCTCTCATGTTGGGTGTCCTACATGTGTGGATGTTGCTGCATTATATACAACTATTAGAATAGTTTTTTACATTTTAGAATGGGGTGCCTCAAGACTGCCCATAATGCTAAAAAGTGCCTGGGGCCTGTCCAACATTTTAGAGGGTGCCTTGACTGAGAAAAGCTTGGGAAAACACTGCTGTAAACTGTTCCCTCTCTTAATACTGAGGTATGGACCTACCATTACTGATCTAGAGGAAGAAATAATGGACTTCAAATGTCACTGCACTTATGCACATTGAGATCTCCGAGTCCCTCTGCTGTGATGACATGTCAATAGGTGAAGTGGTTGCACCTCTGCACCAGCCACAGAGTCGGAACCAGGAAAGAAGACCAGGAGAAAATGGCAGCATCCATGACCAACATGAGTGCTAACAGCACAGCACTGGAGGGGTTAGCTTGTCAGGTAACATGCTAATATGATGTGCATACAAGCACATTATGGACAATTGAAAAAGATATTTGGTGAAGGTTTAATAGGTTTAATTCCACTTTAAGGGCTCGTTCACTTAAGCTCTGATCTCTGATGAGTAATCCATGTTGCTATTGCTCTTTAGAGAGCATTTGTCAGGCTGTGAGGAGGCGTTGTTTTACCTCCTCATGCTTGCTTTAACCCCTTTAATCCCACACTAGTATGCTGCAACCGTGTGCATTGCATGGGCTTGCAGAGTGGTCTCATTCCCTTGAATGGGTTGCACTTGATGAGCACTACACATGCTGAAAGTGACGGGGGGCATAATTCCTGCTGAGGCATGTGTACATCTACAACCCTGGCTGCTGCCTCTGCAGTTACAAAGGGAGCAGGTGGAGGGCAGTAAAATCACAGCTCTACCGCAGGGTATTACTGACGGTCAACCGCTAGTATGAATGAACCCTAAAGGTGTTTTGCTACTACATCAGGCAGTACCAGCAGTATGCTGAAGATCCCAAACACTTCTGATATACAGACAGCAGCAGTCCAGATCTTCAATGGTACAACACACCCCCGTGTCCAATCCAGGGGCGGACTGACAACTCATGGGGCCCCCGGGCAATAGGGATCATGTGGCCCCTGTGTCCTTGCCCACATTCAAAAAAACCTATAAAACAGGTACGAGGGGCATCTCATGGGGCCCCCTACTGACCCCGGGCCCTCGGGCAGTGCTCTCTGTGCTTGAATGGTCAGTCCGCCCCTGGTCCAATCAACAACCATCACTCCTGCTGAACAGCATTGTTGATTGGAGCACTGTGTAGGGGGAGTGTTGGTCCACTGGAGATTCAGACCACCATACTCTGTGCAAGAGCAGTGGTCTGAATTTCCATCTTCGAATGTGGTTAAACAGAATTACCTGTGGTAGATTTACATATTCGTCATTTAAATAGTATGCCTGGCTATTTTCCTGGTGTTCAGCTTTAAGCAAAAAAGAAAAGAAAATTCTTTGGCACCCGACACCTGTAAGCAAACCTGTTCTGTTTGTTACATACACAAGACTGCACTTGTACCCAAGCGTATTAGAAACTCAGGATGCACTGCCTGAGCTCTGCGAGTTGCCCAAGAGGCGCCATCTAAACGGTCTCTTTACTTCATACATACCATCAAATATTGAACATTTTACAAGTTTGTGACAGAATTTAAAATTATACGTTGAACTGTTCTATGTATCTTGTCTCTGAAGAAGGCCTTGATGCTTATCATGAAACCTTCTCCGATGACAGAAAGTCTAGGAGGACACATTAAATTATGAGAGTTATGAGATTTCAACTTTGACAGTGACAAAGCCACTATTCGTTGAGGTCTTGGTTTTATTATAAGCTGAAACCAAAGACGGTCTATTATGCGTTTCCCAAAGAGTCCTTTTTTGGCTGGCCCAATTAGTCAGATTTTTAGCTGGATCTGAATGGAACTCTGTGGTATGAATGAAGATGGAATACCTTCAATTCCATCTAACAAACAAAAAAAATGTAACGGAAAAGGTTTGAGTCCATTTATATTTTTTACGTACTACGCATGTGCAAAATCCATGAAACGCATGTGCAGAAAGATGCAGGTCTCTGATAGGCAAGTGTGTGGAGATTCATGCAATTCCACACATTGCAGATATGCACATGGCTTTTGACGGGTCCCGTAGACCTGGCAGAGACTTGCGGTGACTCTGCCCATGCAAGGCATGTTGGGCCAATATGGCGGTGTGGGACCATAGTGACAAAGAATAACAATGGGCTAGAAGAAGGACAACACTGGAGTCCATGGACTAGTATGTCTTTTTATTTACATACAGGAAGAGCTACCAAGGAATAAACGAAAAATTGAGCTAGATGGAGGAAAAAAAAACAGAATAGACATGGATGTCATAAAGGTGACATCAATTTCGTCCTGCTCTGATCTCAGGATCAGATGATCCCTTGCTGATTAGAATGGAAGCCACTGGTGAAATGCTGCAGGTGAGCTATAGCTT